TAAAGTCCAATAAATGCCTAGCGGCGAATACCCGCCGCAATAATACGTGTAGTCAGTCATCTTCGTGACACTGATATCGTTGTTTCTTTTAACCGACCGTAAGGACCGTGCATTTCACCGCAGTTACGAACATTCTACACCTGCAGAGAAATATATATTTGTTTTTTTTTTGTCTTCCGCCTGTGCCTGTACTTTATACTTCTGTAATAGAGATTGTCAATATACGGCTCGACGCCTTCTCAACCTGAGAATTACAGGTGGTGTATTTCTTTTCTATTTTTTAATATCCCTCACGCGAGTGGGTGCAACATCTCTAACAAATGATATTATTATTTTTTGTTTTTTATATCAATATTTAATATTGAAATATTTTTTTTGATTTATATTTAGATAATTCATATTGATTTCCACAATATTTTGATTTAAAAGTTGTTCAGTAGCAATTGTGCTGATTTGATAATACTTTTATAAAGTAGTATCTCTTTGAAGCTACCCTTATGGATAATTTTAAGTTTCTTAGTACTATGAATTATTTTTATAAAATATATTAACTAACACAAAAAATTATAAAAAGAAGAAATATTTTTGACTTTCTACTTGATAAATATTCTAACATTAAATAAATCAATTAATGATAGCAAAAATAATTATACATTTGTTTCTAGTATAAGCTGGCATCAATCGTGGGAGCAGTGTTGGTTTTAACCCTATGAATAAATTGTTTTGGGTTTCCATAAGAAAATATTATGACTTTTTTAAAGAGACAAGTTTAAAACATAATAATAATAACTTATAAACATATCAAGGTAAGCATTTCCTTGCTAGGTCGTCCTGAATCGTCGAACTTGTCGATATGTGAGAGGCTACGTAGTTCTTTATGTACCAATCATTTAACAATAAATAATATTGATAATATGGACTACAGAGTTTCTTATTGAAGACGATATTCTCAAGAAATTAATCCAGTATGTCAAACAAAAATCAAGAAGCTGAACTAGAACAATTAAAAGGCAAATCAAAGAATTTTTAGATATTCATAAATCGTAGAATAAAATTTAAAAATATAATCTCAATATAATAAGTAAAAACAGCAAACATGTTCTATGGTATTTTCCATAGCAAAACTACAGTATTAAAAGTTTTTTCCTGTAACAAATTTTCAATAGTTCAATGCGAAATTTGTGAGAAATACGACCACGTCTGCTAATCCAGAAAAAAGAAACAAGCGATACAAGGTGTTAGCTTTGTCAGAAACAAAATCATAAAGTGAAGAATTACAAACAAAAAAGCTAGCTTATAGGCTTAACATTTACGCTGAGGGCACATGTTCACTTTCAACTTTAACAAACTCAAAAAAAAAAAAAAACAAAAATACATCATGCCCAGAAACTTAAGAATGATAAGGAAGTCAATATAAAAAACAAACAATTGAATACATTCAATCAGCAAGTCATACATTGAGCACCATAGGGTTATAAATTATAGGTTAACGAGACCAAACAGCTATAGACACAGGGATAAATCTTAACATATTAAACGGTGAATTAACTAAAAGCGTACAATATAGAAAAAGTTGAAAACATACTAATAACCGGAGAAGACAATAAGCCCATAGATCTAATAAGGAAATTTAATATTTTAATTGTCATTGAAAACGAAGAGTTTAATGTAACCGTATATATTGTAAACAACTTAAGATCGTAAATATTAGGCAATCGATTTCTATTCGATAATAATGCTGACATTGATTTTTAATCAAACGTAATGTTTGATAAAAACATCATTACCACATAAATAATCAACTCCAATAAAATGATACAAACAACAAATAACAAAAAAAAAAAACAAAAAAGTGTTGTATTTCTACTAACACAACAAACGGTTACAAAATGTAATAGCACTGACATATAACGTTCAATCAGGCTACAAAAATGTTACGTCGCTATTTAGGGATTGAGTCTAAATGCCCGTCAACAGTATTCTAAGGGACCAACGGGGGTAGCTGGCTAGGCTATATCTACCTTAGGTACTGAGGTTTCCTATTTAATTTATATTCCCTTAAATGAACTACCAAGGGTCGCACTACAATATATATATATATATACAGAGTGTTCAGTAAGTTAGGAAACAGTTAAATTGTTACAAACAATGAGTACAATAGAAATTCGTTTTCTTATTTACTGAACACCCTGTATAACACTCTCGGTTAACAACGATATAAATAAATATTTATTAAGTTATTGAAATATTAAATAGATAATACAACCTGCTGGACACCTAGAGATGACATAATCCAACAGGGAGCTGACGGCGACACACACACACACACTATATACGTGGTAGAAAAGTTAAGTTAATTATCAGACAAAAGTAGTGATCGCGATGATGGTAAAAGGTCAACTGTCGATAGGGATATCTTATTATGGCACATTGCCCGTGAATTGCAAAAGTGTTTGTGTGCAGTCCGCCCTCCTGTTAGTATTGTTGTATGTCACTGTGTTAATTATATATATATATATGTCTATTAAACGGTACAATGATGTTATGGGAGACAAAGATATGGGCACATGCAAATGTAATCGTATCAAAAATCTTCAAAAAATATAAAATGGGCGAAAAATAGCGGAAGACAATAATTATGCTTTACATGTAATATATAATATAATTATTATCAGCTCAGCCTTCCAAAAAATCACACTACGCGAGTTATTTAAACTTATATAAGACATTGGGGATATTGGTTTTCAGATCAAGAAATTGCTAGCTTATTAAATGACTAATTAACGCGATGAAACACGACCACCAAAGACAGAAACGATGACGTTGGAAAAGCAACGGCGTTGTCAATTGCTCACATAGCATTTCATAATGAATTTATTAAAGATCAATTAATTGATAATTATAACATGTCTATTAAAATATCATATTTATTCCAGGAACATTATATTAAATAAATACCTAAAGTAATAGTTACAGTAGGTTAAATTATATATTATAGACTTTTATCGTATCTTTATAAATAGTTTCAATGAAATATTGGTAAAGAACTTTAAAAAAAATATGTTTCATATCTTTCAGGGCCGGGGCACGAGTTAAACTTAATTAATCGACATCACATTTTATACACGTAATTTTTATACCTATTGAAACCACTTAAGAGGGTAAGACTGAAAACAAAACCTTATATGTTAGAGGGCCACTCTTATTAAGATTCCCAGATTATTTTAAAAAGCTAACTTTTTGTGCAAAAATAGATATATTAATTCTCCCTTTTGAGCTAGCAAATCGTGTGATTTTCTAAAATATATATACCAAATCAAAAGCACATCCCTAAAGTATTTATATAAAAAATTTCGTCTGGATTTATCCATCTTTTGAAAAATTATGGAAATTTTTAGTAAAAAAAATTTTTTAAGTATCAAAATTTACCGATTTCAGAAATTGTGATCTAATATAGTTACATAAAAAGTTATAAACGTAATAACTACATATTATACACTTATTTCTGTTTGTGCCATTTACCTCTATTTTATAAAGTAAATTGATATAATATTTATGGACTACATTGTGACGAAAAGTTTATGTTATTGCATCTAAATTATATAATATATTATGTAGTGACTATGGAATGATCGAGAATCTTCGCGACGGATAGGCAACACAAAATGCATATACGCGGGAATGTTCTCGATCGCTCCGTAAGAGAATCTTCTAGAACTCAACACAATATTAAACGGCGCGACGTACAATAACGTCAATCAGTTAGCCAGTCGTCAGTTAATCGGTTAAGTAGTTAAGTACACGTAGTGCATTAATATAATTTTTATATACATTTTCTTAGTGTTTTTATTTATTAGAAATTAATAAGTGAAGCACTAAATATTACATATATCATAAATTTAAGATTAATGAACTATATCTATAAAATAATTAAGTAATAAAATATCAGTTATGAAAATGAAATATTCAGTTTTATTAATAATTTACAACATAACTAATTAAATAAATAAAGTTTAAAAAACTAAAAAAAAACACTCTTTTAAAGCTTGTTAGATGAAAAGTTAAAAATAATTTTTAAAATAACCTTAAAACAATAATGAACGAAAAATACTAGTATTATTTTGAAATAAAATAAACTTAAAACAATAATAAACGAAAAATACTAGTATTATTGAGAAAAAAACGTCGGGCGTTCAATATACGAAAAATATGACACAAAGCCCACGCTTTTTTCACAATACTAGTATTTTCCATTCATTAATGTTTTAAGCTTATCTTATTTCAAAATAATACTAGTATTTTTCGTTCATTATTGTTTTAAGGTTATTTTAAAAATTATTTTTAACTTTTTAGTTCGATGTGCTTAAAAGCGTGTTTTTTTAGTTTTTTTAAACTATATTTATTTTTCAATAGTTTTTAGTCTGAGAAACGGCTACCACATCCAAGGAAGGTAGTAGACTCGCAAATTATCCTCTCCTGGCACGTGGAGGCAGTGTCAAAAAATGACGATAGGGACTTATAGGGGCTCCGTAATTGGAATAAATGCACGTTATATCTCTATATAAGATTAAAGCGCGATAATATATAAATATTGATAGTAATTAGAATATATATATATATCATACTCAGTTTATAAAAATCTTCGCATAATATTATCGCGTCGGCGACGCGATATCCGGCATGATCCTCGGGCGTTGAAAAACTAGCAGCGTTAATAGCAACGGTGCGCAAGTGCGAATCGGTTCATTGAGTTCGGTCGTGCGGTACGTCCGGAGCCGGTGGCGTACATAATCGACGTTGTCACTTTAACAACGGGAGGAAGACACAACGTAACATTTGCGTCGGGTCGTCGTCGGCCGTACGGTACGTACTGGATTTTGCACAACGGCGTATGGCACGTGGTAATGATCAGTCAAACAAAAATACTCATAGTAGGGCGACGGCTGATAAAGGTGGCGAGAGTGGCGGGGCCGTGTCACAATAAAAATTTGTTTATATATATATNGTGTTGCCAGCGTGTGATGAGCAGGGTGGGGTGAATGCGTTACGATAGTCTAGTCTCAACGACGGGATACGTGGGAATAATAACATGTGGCGCGTGGAGATTTACAAACATACGTACATACAGGTGAATCTAATATAAGAGTGTTAAAAAAATGAGGCTTTCAAAGCTAATTTTAAGTTGAATTCGATAAAATACCTAAGTTGACTTTATTTTCGTAGAAAGAAATTGTGTAACAATTTTATGTGAAATTTGTATCATTAAATTTTTTTTTCACAGGAGAAAAACTGAGATAAGTTGCCAAAAAGTCGTTATTTTGAAAATTTGAACATTTTAAATCTTATGTTAGTATATAAGTAAAGAACAAAAATATATTATAATACAGAATAGTGATATGATGTAAACAAAATAAATATAAGCATTTATCGTGAACCCATAAATGTTTTATAAATATTAGTTATAAGGAATTTATTGTAACATTAGTAAGTATTATACTAATACTTAGAAAGTAACCATTAATACTGTAAATTTCATGTTAATTATATCCTTAATTGTTAAAGACATTGTTCCTAATAAAAAGGGATCTGACTACTGATTCAGTAGTCAGTGATCAATCAGTGAATGTTACATTATAATTGTTATTATTTTGACTCTTTCTGACAACACTTATCCGCGTGATCGAACTTGGACTTAGAACATCCAGTTCATCACACATTTGTTGTTTATTAATATTGTATAAAAAGCTGTGTAAAACTTGCTTAAATTGACATATCAAAATTTGAAAAATAATCATTGAAATTTATAATACAGTGTATTCTCGTTAATGTCCATACATAATTATTTACAATTATGACATTTTAGGATTATTGAATTATTATAAAAAGCCAAAACTTGAACAAATTGTACGATAACCTCAAAAACTTTATTACTGTCTGGTAATGCTCTCTAATATACTTTCATATGTCTTGTCATAATTGTACCTAATCTTTTTATGCAATATGAACTAACAAACCTTAATGTCTTATACATACTGCAAGTTATAATTTGCAGTATATATGAGACTATAATAATTTATAAATGTTATAATAATATACAGAGTGTTCAGTAAGTTAGGAAACAGTTAAATTGTTACAAACAATGAGTACAATAGAAATTCGTTTCCTTATTTACTGAACACCCTGTATATAATAATTATTATAAGTAAAATAAGTGAATATTTGGTAAATTACTCATTATTATACATTAATTCATTACCTTACGATCATCAACTGGCATATTATTTTGTATTTCAGTAGGTACGATAACTTCTTTATACAGTTCATTAGCAAGAAGATTAGTCATTCTAATATATCCCAATTCAAGTAAATGTTCAACTGAGTCATCATTCTTTGAATTTTTTGTATACCTTTATAGAAAATTAGAATGAAATAAAATAATAAATATCATTATCACTCAATTACTCAATTAAATTAATTAATTTAACACTCTTCATAAATAAACGCTTAGATGGAAATATATAGATAGTATTTAATTTTTAATTTTATTATTATTTTTTTTTGTAACTCAATAAGAATTAAGAAAAAAATCCAAACCCATTTGGGGTACAAACTTCGTACCTAAAGCATGATAAACACAAGTGTTACCGACTCTGCAACAGTACATGACATTTTTTCAGTGAACATAAATATAGTTTAAAAACTGAAAAACACGCTTTTAAATAACATCGAAATAAAAAGTTAAAAATAATTTTTAAAATAGCTTAAAACAATGAACAAAAAATACTAATATTATTGTGAAAAAAAGCGGCAGCCGCTCAATATAAGATAATATGGCACAAAACACTCACGTTTTTTTCACAATAATATTAGTATCTTTTGTTCATTATTATTTTAAGCTTATTTAAAAAATTATTTTTAACTTTTCACTTCGATGTGATTTAAAAGCGTGTTTTTTTAGTTTATTAAACTATATTTATTTTTCATTTTTTAGTTTCATGTTATGATAGTAGTTAATATCAATATCATGGTTGTAACGTTATCGGGAAATCAGGGTTCGATTCCGGAGAGGGAGTCTAAGAAACGGCTACCACATCCAAGGAAAGCAGTAGGCGCGCAACGTGGAGGTAGTGACGAAAAATGACGATACGAGAATCATCCCCCGTAATCGGAATGAATACACTACATGTCTCTTAATGAGAATAAAGCGTATTAATATATAAGTTTTAATAGTAATTAAAATATATATATATATATACATGTAAAGCAACTTAAGTACGTAAACGTATCATGCATGAGGTATAACCTTGTTTTGTGGGCGGGGGGAACATTATACACGAGGTATATACGGCGGCAGATGCATCGGCTGTAGGAATATATAAATGAATATTAACATATACGTATAAATATTAATTTATATATATTAATATTAGCGGTGGTGGTAGGAATATATGATCCTCGCATAATATCGCGGCACTGTCGCTGGCGTCCACGACGCGATGTCCGGCGTGATCCTCGGGCGTCAAAAGGTTAGCATCGTATATGACAACAGTGCGCGAGTGCGGATCGGTTTGTTGACGTTATCACTGTGACAACGAGAAGAATACTACGGTATCCATGACAAAATAGATAGGTATGTCAGCAATAAACGAGTTTTGGACCGTTTAACGCATCCCGCCCTTCTCACACATAGTAGTGGTTCGCCTTATTTCATTGGCCGTAGGTTTGCCCGCCAAAATACAATTCTTTAAATCAAATACTTGACAGCAACTTTAATATTTTGTATTGTTTTTTATGATACCTTTTACTATTATTGATTGATATCAATCTATTGTGATATCTATACTACAATATAAACAAATATGATCAATTTGCAAATTATTTGATATGAAATGATTATGCCGGGTATATTGAATAAAATGAACAGCGTTTATTTTAACTTGATATACTTACATAATTCTACTTAAATTTATATTTTTATGACAAAATGCCTGTTTGTGAGTTTTTTGATTGTATTAGTGGTAGTAAAAAAAAATCATTGGTAAAAAATAAAAAAGTAACCTTGAATCGATTTCCAAAAGATCCAGTCTTAAGAAAATTCTGAGAAAAACAAATAAGATTAGGTCAAATAACTAAAAAACCAATAAATTTTGATTTTGGTAAAAACAAGTAACTCTTAATTAACATTATCATATTTTTTCAGAATCCTAAATAAATTACACTATTATTTCATCGTTATATTTATATTTAGCTGTTTATTATGAGCTTGTTTAATTTCATTTAGCTGTTGTTTGTTCATTGCATTTTACAAATGATAATTATGCAATTCATTCTAATAATAAGTATAGGAAAGTTTTAAAATAAAATGCTATTCCATAATATAATATTATTTAAATATCATTTATTTTTTAATCATTCATCAATGAAGTGCAATTTTTTATATTACAAAATTGACTTTTTAGAGAAAAATCATGTGATCTTGTTGTTAAGTGTACAGAAAAATACAAATTTAACCTTTTTAAAGACCTTGAAGTTAAACCTCTCGAAGAGAGTTTAAAGAGTGAAATAGAAAATAATATATTATTCCAAGAGTAATACACACATTTATAGTATATTTACAGTGCCGGATGTTGAACTCTAAAAAATTTAGGGGCCTCTAATTTAAAAATGTTATGAAAAAAGTCACAAGTATACAACTATGATAACTCTATAGTTACAAAATTATAGAGTACAAAGTATAATAAAATTAATAGTATATTATTATCTACAGAATAAAGAAAGCCTTCAATATAATAGTAAAAAGTAAAATGTTTAGATGTTCTATTTTAAGAAAAATTTTTTCCTTGACTTTGCATTGGCAAAATTGTTAATTATTATTTCAATATTTAGAGTTTTAGTTCTTTCCTTTTCTATACTTAAAATTGATATACTAGAAAGATAAATACTAAACAATCGAATATCAATCAAACATTTACAATTACCATTCACTATCATTGGGAATAAATTAAATAAACTTTCAAAGTAAAATTCAATACACCATTTGAAAAAACAAAATATACATTTTCAAAGAGTCTGGGCCCCGGTACAAGTGGTGCATTGTACCGACGGTTTATCCGGCACTGTTTATTTATATTCTACTCAATTAATAGTATAATTATACTAAATTTTTATATTTTAAATAATTAGATTACAAAACAAGTGTGAGGATTATGAAAACAAATATTTAAAAATTTTGGATGAAAATAACGTTTTAAAAACAAATTATACTGCTGTAATAAATAAACTTAAATGTTACAATAATTTCATTAATTTGGAAGATCATTGTTTTGAAAATCACTGTAGTGATATTTTATCACAATTCTTTACACCAACTCAGATTCAACTTATTCTTCATAAGAAATATATTTCAGAAGTCTGCATGGTGACAATCTGTCAAAAGCTCCTAAAATTTTTACAACATTAACAAACAAATTAATGTTAAATAATGGAGAGTATAATATACCCAAAGAAGTGGTAGAATGTTTAGTTAGAACAAGAACTTATATAAGGCTAAATAATTTAAATAATCAGTTAATTTGTCAAAAATTAAAGAAACAAAAATTTACTTAATAAATAAATGTATGTAATAAGTAAAATTAAATTACCAAGTAACATTAAGCCAGTTCGCCTTAAAGTACTGTGCTAACAAACCAACCTCTTGGCTTTATAAAAAAGAAAGTAACACTAATGTGAAGCAAATTATATATTAATTAATTCAATGAAAGCATTTCTAAGTATTAAGTATATTATATACATAATTTTCCATTGTTCCTCTATACGTTACAAATTATTTTTGCACAACATTCAATATTAATGCATAAATGATAATATTATCACTATATTTATGGAAAATGACCATACAAATATTCGGCCAATGAAATGTGGCGAACCAACAATAGATGGGGTGAAGAGTGGGTTGCGTATCACAAAGTTGCTGACATACCTATCTATTTTGTCATGACGGTATCATTAACGGCAGGACGTCGTCAGCCGTGCGGCACTTGTTGGACTTTGCACCGCGACGTAAAACGACGCGGGGTCGTGTCAATCACAATAAAAATTTGTTATACATATAATATATATAACAAATATATATATTATATATAATTGATGACAAGCGCGCGTCTACGGGTTGGAAAATATTGTGGTCTACTAGTGGTGAGCGGGGTGGGGTGATTGCGTTACGACCATCTAGTCTGAAGGCCGTAGACACGTAACGAGTGAAAAGTTACAAACAACTCACAAACATACAGATGAAACTAATATAAGCGTGTTAAAAATAAATATAGTTTAAAAAAACTAAAAAAACACGCTTTTAAAGCACATCTAGTTCGATGTGCTTTAAAAGCGTGTTTTTTTTAGTTTTTTTAAACTATATTTATTTTTCACTTTTTAGTTTTATGTTATGGTAGTAGTTATTAACAATATCATGGTTGTAAAGGGTAACGGGAAATCAGGGTTCGATTCCGGGGAGGGAGTCTGAGAAACGGCTCCCATATCCAAGGAAAGCAGCAGGCGCATAAATTACTCACTCCCGGAACATGGAGGTAGTGATGAAAAATGACGATACTGGATTCATCCTTTGTAATCGGAATGAATGAGTTCTATATCTCTAAATAAGAATAAAGTGTGTTAATATATATTTTTAATAGTAATTAGAATATACAGAGTGTTCAGTAAGTCAGGAAACGGGTTTCTATTGTNAGTGTTCAGTAAGTCAGGAAACGGGTTTCTATTGTTCTCATTGTTTGTATATATATATATATTGTCGCCTTATGATTTAAATTGTTCTTAATAATATTCGGCACTGGGTATTTAGTTTTTTTGACCCCTACTCTAAAGGCTAGCCGTGTTGTCGCCAACGGACTGCCGGTCAAACGTCGGACGTTTTGTCGGAAATTAGCCATCGTCGGAACTGGTACACTAATTTTCGTCCGTAGCGGTTTTTAGCTTCAATGCGAAGCTGAGAAGGTATTGGTTTTACTATGATGTGTTTATTTTTTTTTTTTTGTGTCTGTTACCACTTTTTCTCAGCTCTCACCGAACGGATTTCTTTCAACGCTACGTCAAAAGATCACAAATCGTATCTAGTCGAAGACATTACCCTTTAAAATTGAAAAAAATTCCCTCGTTCCCCGTAAATGGGGGAAACCTCCAAAAAAATTACAAATTTAAAAATCGCTAATTTTCGAAATTTTTTCA